ATAATTGCCATCTTGAACAATATACAAGAGTCAATACCATTGTAACATTCGTGTTTATTGCCTATGTTCGTAATGGATTAATGAGAATTGCATTCAAATGAAAACGAAAAAAACTTTTTCTTCTACAACTTCGCGTATTGTAGATTCAGACAAATTATATTTATATCCATCAGCCTATAAATTGTCGAGATGCCTTACATGGGCAAGAGATAAAATAAGTATAATGTTACAGGAGAAGTATTGGATTTGCCGAATATAATTTACATACGTCATGTATTACACCGCGTTTTGGTTTTTGTTTTTATATTCTGTATCAAACTGACACATACAATGAAAAATAGCGTGCAAAGTACCATCCCATGACGAAATGTGCTTCTATTTGGTAAATCTATACGATATTTTTGTCTTGTTTCTTACTATGATACTGAATTTCAACAGAAAAGCCAATCGATAATAAAAATTTGTCCGAAATTATAAAGAAGCTTATCACAAATTTTCTAATATAAAAAAATCCATCGTTCATCACTGTCCAAGTCTGAATAAAATATTTTACTGTTAGCGTTGACCACATTGTTTTACCATAACTATATTTAAATTATCGACTAGTTTTTTCTTTTCATGGTTGGGTTCATTAGGGTCTATTCTTCACTATATCCTGTTTAGATGCTAGAATAGATGGACATAGAATTTCAAAGATATTTACTAAGTGTAAAATACATTTCTGTTTACGATTCCGACGTTACCTTCATATATTGATCATAGACGATCCTCTAATTTTCTTCGTTAGTAGTCAGTGTCTGAAGAATATATTTCGTAGGCGTGGAACATTAGACAAGCTGATTTTTATAAATTATCGCCTTTACAATAACAATTGAGAGTTCATTTGTTTTCTTTTTCTTATCTTTTTTAGTTTTTAATAGTGCTAGAAATAGTTACTAACCCTTATTTAATAATGCAAAAAATTAACACATTGCTACGTTTTGTAGGATGTTCTTGTACCTTTTTCTTGTTGAGCGTAAGTTATATGTGATCCTTCAGTTAGCTATTTCCACGCAGCGAAATTTTTTCGTAAATAATGGCCACCTAATTGTTGCTTTGCATACCGATGTTTATATTGTAGGTACAGGTTTTTGAAGCAGTGATTTTTACCTTATGTGGTGAGCGTTTTTTTGTGTACATACAAAAATAAGAATATATGTATATCTTTTTCTTTGTGTAAATTTTTTATACAAGCCCAAAACATGAGCAATCAAACTCATTAGGGAAGAACAACTCGGTCTTTCAGGCTGAAATACATCATCATCAATGCTTTTGCTTTACAAGGTCTTAAAAGAGGTTACACAGGCAAAAAAATCCTCAAAAGATTGGATAGCCAAACAGCTAATAAATTAATTAAATTAAAGTTTTTAAACTTTACTTCAAACAGCAGCCATTTGTCGTCTAGATGGTTTTGTTATTTTAATCTTAACTGCATCTATGTAATATATTTTACAAGATTTTTTCATTCTTCCTATTGTATTAGCATGTAAAAATCTCATAAAAATTAGTTGATGAGTGCATCCAAAATCTCCAATACCTCGGAACACAACAACGTCATATCTTGGGTACCAGAACCACAAGGGAATTTTGGGTAACGGAAAAGCAGACAAAATTTTGACCCCATTTGTAGATTATGAAATGAGGAGGATGAAACTGCCATATCATCGAATGTGAAGCAACCGCTCAATGGAGACACCTGTGATAAAAAGAAAACCCAGTTTAGTAGCAACGACAAACCTAGACTTCTTAAAAGAAGGATCGAGTCGATTGCACTGGACTTAAGAACTCGGAAAGTTCAATAAGCCAGAAGGCAGTGCTTGGGGAACAAAAAACCCCAGTTCCTTGTAAACATCAGCATCGTTATCATGTGTAAATTTATAAATATTTTCGGTGTTTTAAAACTTTACTTCCAACAGCAGCTATTTGTCGTCTAGATGGTTTTATTGTTTTAATTTTAACCGCATCTATGTAATTATATCTGTATGTAATTAAAGCTATTATTGTTGTATGTTACACGTTTTTTTCTTTCTTCTTAGTTGTTGTGTCAAATCTCTTTTAATTTTACATGGGCAACTTTAGCAATTATATACAACTTTATTGTCATATTTTTATATACAATTGTCTTCGTGGTGTCTGACTCCCCTCCTACACATTCAATCATTTAATCGGTTTATTGATTAATGACGACTGTCTTTTACCTTATTTTTTTAAATGGCATCACCCAGTTGTCTTCCAGTCGTGAATGTTGCATATTCCCGAAAGAAACTTTGTAGATGCCATTGGAAACGTGTCCTCGTTTATAAGTATGTAATTTAGATGTAATGTAAAAAATAGACAAGTAAAAGTTTAAAAATTTATTTTAATACGGTACAAAAGAAAAAATTAGACATTTAGTAGTACACGATTGGGTAGTAGTAGACAGTCTGAGGTTGGTAAACGCTGTAGACGATGTGTTGCGGCTTGCTACCTGGGAATTTTCCAGGCGACAGAACCAGATTTTCCGCTCCTGGAATTCCGGCGACTGCTGTGGCAATCGGTCTGCTCACTGCAAGTCCTCCGGGTCCTACGACGGCCTGTCCGATGGGCTGAGCAGAAGCAACTCCTCCGACACCGGCGATGGAAACTGCGACTGGTTTCGCTTCGGCGATCGATGCATTTTCTGGAGGTTGATTTATAGCTACTGAATCGTCTGGGTAAGAAGGATTCTCTTCCGCCACGCCGACATCCTCTTCGTCCTTATGTCCCTGCGGCACCCTCCGCTCGCCGGTTATGTACATTTGCCCGGAGGGGTGAATGACGAGGAAGCGGCCTAGTGCTCCTCCGTAATAAGCCAGTCTTTGCACTTCCGAAACCCCCCTCGACTCTAACCTGAAATCGTATATAAAGAATGGTTTTAAAATTTTTTAATAAAAAATCGTTTCTTTCATTTTCATTACTAATTCTCGAAAATATGTTACAAGTATGATGTTTGTAGTATTTAGCGACCGTTAATTAATGATTATTTGGAGATCGTGAGATGCGGTCTTGTGTGATGTAGGTTTAGAAAAACATTATCTTATTGTGCCAACTTTTCATCTTTATTTAGATCATCTTCAGGGCTCAAAGTGTGTTTTCTGTGCAGATGTGTGTCGTGTGCGACTTTGAGCCCTGAAGATGATCTAAATAAAGATCGATACGTTGGCCCAATAAAGAAAATGTTTTCTAGACCTACATCACACAAGACAGCATCTCACGATCTACAAATAATCATTTGTCAAGTTTGTTAATTCATCAACTGTTTTATCAATCCTGCATAAACAGATATACATCTGCTAGTCAGGTAATTCGTGGTTCATTTTTATAGCATATTTATGATTTATTGTCCCATCGTTTGAAATCTATTCTTTGATGTTTTGTCCCATTTCATGTTTTGCAGACCGAGTAGCCACGGATTAATGGTAAAGTACACATTGTCTAATCAACATTATTTATTTCTTACCTACCTCAGGTAAGAAATGAAATATATAGTTTATAATTTTAAAGGAAATGAAGTGATTATGGGTTTGCCATTGTGCTTGATTTACACTTGCCAGTTTGCGTTAAATGAGAAAGTTCGTTAAACTAGCTCTGTTCCAAACATTGACTGTAATCAGCTTTATTGTTGGCGATTTAATTTTATATAAATTATTTTGGATAATAATACATTCATGACAAATGATTTTAAGGAGAGTATCCGTTGGATTTTATTTCCAAATTTGCCGAAAAGAACTTTTCGCTTTAGGTTTCCATACCGACACATCATTGGCGGATAAGATCAAAAGAAATGAAGAGCCTTTCTTGAACTATTTTTGAACAAAAAAATGGAAACCTGGCGGAATACTTAGTGTTAGTTTAATGACTTGTATAAAGTTTATTATTTTCTACCATCTACGCAAATGTAGACATTTTTTCAGTGAAAATTGGGATCATAAGCTATTTAGATTTAAGCGGACGATTATTTGTGTGGTGTTGCTTACCAAAATGTTTCGTCTTAGTTTTGTTATTTTTATGACACTATCTACATCTCATGTATTTTTTATTTATAGAATATAGAAAGATCTGATCAAATACACTAACGAAATTTTATAAGTTCGTTCTAATATGTCGCTATTTCAGATGTTCCAAAGATTTCGGCAGACTTCCATTGCAATCTTGGACATCACGATGTATGCATGATCACAATTTGGCCAAATATTTTAATGAAAATATTTAAATAAATAATCATCATTAACCGAAAAAATAACAGTTTAAATTTAATGGATTGCTATCTTTATCGATCTCCTCAGAACTCAATCAACACGGTACCGTTCTCAAGTCATTTTCCAGCCCAAAAACCTTTGTTATTTTGAAGAAATCTTCACCAAACGTACTACTAACGACTGGAATTTCAAAATATGAAAACGACATATAAAATAGACGATACCGGCAAAATTGTATGTTGCATTAGAAAAACAGATGGAAACAATGCCTGATAGCTTTTAAATCTCTTCATTATATTTTCTATGCTATTAAATTTTAATATATTGTGTTTTAACAACTTTAAAATAGTATCGAGATGAGCATGCTTAAAAGACAATGAAAATGAGACTTTTTGTCTTTCGACCCAAAGATTATGTAACAACAATCTTCAGATAATCATTGACAAATAACGACAATGATTAGTCAATACATTTAGTACTTAATAGTGTACTATTATTTTAAAAATCAAAAATATCTATACATTTGAATGATTTAACATAAATAGATGTTAGAAAGAAGTGAAATATTCAGATAGAGGAAATTATGTATTTAATATTATTGCTATTAGGCACTAACGTTTCTATATATTTAATATTTACCAAATTACCCCCTTGAAAAAAATATTGGGTTAATAACCTGCACATGCTTGATGAAAATAAACCACCTTACTAATGAGTAATGAAGGGTTAAAAGAAAATGCAAGCCAAGTGATAACCATTTTTATTTTAAACAACAGTTTTATGCAATGTAACAATTTTTCCCCTTCAAGATGAACCTCTATTTGTCCTAATTTGTTTACAATATATTGTAAAAATTATATATATTTTCTAAATCAGTTTGCACAATTATTTTCAAATTTGTTGATAATACATTGCTTTCAACTAATCAATATCAGCCTTTTTTTGCGTATACATAGGTACAAATTATTATATATCGTTAACCTAAAAGTTTAAAAGCATTAGTATTGCTACTACACATTCTAAATTACCCAATTGCTTTTACTCATATTCCAACTTTATTTCAATATGTTACATTGTCATCCTTGTACCTTATGCAATGTTAGTTTCAATAAAGTTACCTTAACCTTCAATAAACCACTCTAATTCATTTCAAACAACTCTAAAAAAATATTCAATAGTTATCATTTGCAGTACATAAGTGAAAACAGCAATACATTTTTGGTTTAGGGGATAAACTATTTATTGATTTTTTATTTTCTTATAATTAAAAAAAATAGAAGTACTTAAATTATTAATACTGCTTATTACACATTCAATACTTTTGGGTACAAATAATACTGTTAAGATTCTAATTCATGTAAATAAAATTAGTTGTGACTGTTACTGAATTATCACAATTTGAAAATAAAAAATGTAAGAAAAAAATATACCTAAATACATCTTAAAACTATCTAGTTGGAAAAATAGAATGCCCATTAAACTAGAAATGAAAATACCACTGCATGCAAATTTAAAATGTTTCTCAAGAAAAGATCCATTTCCAGAGGAATATTTTCAAGTTGTTAAATTTATTAGTAATTGTTGTTATTATTTGGTTACTCATTTTTGGTATCATTTGAATATGAAATGATCAGTTTTGGATGAGCATGGGCCTGCCCACCAGGGCCAGCGATAGCGACTGCATCAGGGTCAAAATCAATATCGACTGGTTCTCCCTTTCTGAGAATAGCTTTTGCGATGGGTGATGCTACTGCAACACCTTTCGCTCCAGCCACTGCTTTGGCAACAGGTCGAAGTACAAGACTTGTCGTTTGATCTTTCCCCACAGGCACCGAAGCAACCATAACAGGAGAATCATTAGATTGTTTGTTGGGATTTTTCAATGAGTCCTCATGTTCACGAAGGATTGTGTCTTGAATTTTTGTAACATAATCAGTAATGTCACTTTGAACATCATCACCAAATGAATTAATATTTTTTAAAGGAACATTCCTATGGAATGAATTGTAATAATAAGACTGTGATGATGGTGTTCTTGTGTAGTATTCTATCACTGGTTGCCCATGTGAACTACTTTCTAATGTTGTTTTTGGGCTTAAAAATCCAGAGAAAGGAAATTTGGTTGGCTCTTTATTCTGAAAATAGTGGTAAATATTTGGGAAATAGTGGGGGAACAATTGCTGTGATGGAGGTCTATATATCAATGATGATATTAGTGGACGGTTTGGTTTTTGATTTCCTAAGCCAAATGTATGACTGGTGGCAGATTTATTTGTGTTTGTGGTGTTTGTATTATTCAGTTCAATTTTTTCAGGGACAGTGACTAGTGTTTCAGTTGTTTGGGGAGCTTGAGTCCCTTGCACAATGGTTTCTCCTTCTTGTTGCACAATCGGTTGCTGCACAATTTCGCTTGGAGATGGGAATGTTGTGTTTTCCTGAGCCTCTTCCCTGTTCACTTTGGACTGTATAAGTTTAATCAGGCTTGCTACAGGCCTTCTCCTCTTGGTTGAAGGCAATTCTGCTGATAACGATTCAGCAGGCACAAGTAAGGCATTATAGTCTGGGAAGTACATCAACACCGGTACAGCTGAATTTTGAATTTGAAGGTACCTGAAATATATAATTAAGCTTTGCATATTTCTTTTATTGTCAATTAATTTTTTAAAATTGTAAAATGCTTAATTTGTTCACAGTAAAGAAAATTTCAGGGTTTTTCATTAAAGAAACAACAGGTACAATTAATTATAAAAAAATTTATTACAGTATATTAACTTGAGCAATGAATATTTCATTCATTTATGTATTAAAAACAAACTATTTACAGCCAACTACTTATAATTAAGAAAACAAATGAATTAATAAATATATTCGATTGAAAGGAACTAGTAAAAAAATTCATACATTTAGTCACAGTTTTGATGTTTAAACATTTTCTTCGTCATAATTTACAGTCTTTCAACAGTTGTGGGCATTGGAGAATGAGATTTAAAATTGTAGTACACTACAGGCCCATTAGCAATAACCTTACCACCTTTTGGAAAATCAAATTCTGGTCCGTTTCCCCTAGATATCACTTGAGTTTTTGTAAATGAAGGAATTTCAATTACTCTTCCTCCTGGTCCGACCACTGCTGTACCATCAGGAGTCGTATAAGCTGTACCTCCAGGTCCTACTATGGCAGTGCCACCAGATCCTGCAGTTGCTATTCCTCCTGGTCCTGCAATAGCAACTCCACCTCTTCTCACTTTCAATCTCATTATACTTGGGGCTGCATCACTACTACGTGAAAAGTCATCAACAAAAAATTTATGATAATCATTATTTGCTGGCACATCTCGTTTGCTTCTGGTCTTGGCTGCATTCTTTTTGCACACATCAGCCTCAGGACCATACTCGACAACATTAGTAAAAGCTGTCCACATCGCATTGAAAGGGTTGTTAAAAACTATTGGGAAGTAGTCATCAAAAATTCTATTCGAAAGTTGTTTCATACCTAAATTTTGTGGACCAAAAAAAGGCTGGGGATACATATTTGTTGGATCTTGATACTGAGCTTGTACACTCTGTGCAAATGGAAACATTTTATAACCCATCGCTGGCTGTATGAATGTTTGGTAATGTTGAATTCGCCTTATTACATTTTTTCCTGGACCTGTCTCAGTCGTTTGAAATGCTTCTGGATAAAAATTTTTAGTCGGAACATCCAAGGAGGGATCAACGTAATCAAATTTTGAATTCCCACCTCTCGCTTCTATTCCAAGTGCTCTGTTGAATTCATCAGCATTAAATTCATAGTCATTATAATCCATATTGTTTGGAAATGTGTTTTCATGTTTGTAATCTTTTTCCAGTGGATTGTTATCTGCACTTCTTTCAACTCTATTAGTGAACTGGTTGTTTTGCTCTTTGAGCAGACTGTCCATTGAAACTTCCTTAACTACTGCCTGCGTTTCATGTTCATTGTTAGCATCATAGACAAGATGAACGGGAATCTCAGCTCCATTCTTGAATTCAGTTTGTTTTCCTTTGCGACTTGGTTCCTCAACCCTACAAAGGATAAACTATGTTACTTATCTTATACAATATGGCAACAGTTAGGTTAAATATTTTAAAATGAATTAATTATTTTTGTGAATTGTTATTTATTGCATATAAACACTTGAAAAACTTGGGTGAATGCTTAAAAGAAGTAATATTCAACTATTGAAATTAATTAAACGTCATAATTTTTTCTCGATAAATCTTTATTTTTTCACCAAATCTTTCGAGTGGAAAAATACTAGTTAACGTATGATAATAGAAGAGCAAAAGTTACAAATATTATTTTAAAATAAAGTTGTGTTAAATCAAACATTTTGTTATTTAAAGTTAAAAAGCTAATATTGCCTAGAATTTTTCTTACCTTGTTAAATATCGCCGCCTCCAACGCAGATCTAATATTATTTCACTAATCTCCTTTTTTCCAATATTCCATTTCACTAGTATATACACACCAATAGTACTTTCGTCCGTTATAAAATATACACAAAACTTGAAAATAATCGTGGGAAGAGAATATGGCGAACTTTGACAATTGTGTTACCAAAGTGAGTATTATTAATTAAAAGTTATTAGTAGGACAGTTACTTGTAGAAGGGTTAATGAAGTAAAAAACCGTTAGTGAGTGGAAAAACTAAAACCTGTTATATATTATTATGTGCAATTATACAGTTACCGATTAACAGAATATTCATAAAACAAATGTCTACTTGGCGGATATAATTTGAATTTCTTTTGAAAATTACTTACGGTAGGTTTGCGACACTGGGCTCGTACGTCAGGTACTTCAGATCTCTTTCATCTCTCTTTTTTTCGACTCCGTTTTCAGGCCTTCCGTACACAAACGACACCAACAAGAGGAAAACGGCAACCTGTAAAATTGGAGCAGTCATTACTAAGCGGAATGAAATGTGGGATACTGTTCTAAGGTGTCCTGCCTGTATTGGTATGCGAAACTAGTCAACGCTGAGGATCTTACATAATTAACCTTGCTATTGAAAAGGTCCGATGAACCACGAAAGAAAAAAGTTTATTTTCTATTGGCTCATAATTCGCATTCAATGTCGAAGGAGTTTTATTTTTTGCCTGTCACTTTGATCCAAAATAAAAATAAATTCTTTGCTTTCGACAAAAGTAACACGTTGAAAGTTTTCAACTATGAAACATTTAAAAAATGAACTATTTATAAAATCATTAATTCGATAAACGAGGAAAACTAATGTCGACAATTTCATTACAACTAAAGTTCTTCCTCAATGGATTTTTGGCGAAACGACAGTGGAAAGAACTGATTGGGAGTTTAGAATGTGACGGGGCGGTTCAAAAACCTCGTTCGGCACTCCCAGTAACTAGCATACGTCATAAAAAATTGCCGGATACAATTGTAGAACAGATTGCCATTACAAGACTTTAAATTTTTGTCCAGAAAAAATAATGAAGTTACCTTTAGTATTTTCACCAAATCCCTGCTCAAATGATAAAATTTATAAAAGAAAGGGCATTGGTCCCGAAATAATTATAGACAATAAAATTTTGTGAAGTTCAATAATACCAATAATGCCCCCATCATATGATGAATTCCACAACAAACAAAATAAAAGATGGAATTCCACATTACAGAAGTATACAATATACTTGCAGATCATGGATGTTATTAAAATTTTAACAACTATAAAGCAATTTTTTTATAAGCAATTATATCCACTCGTCATAATTCATATCAGCCATTAATATTATAATTTTGTAGTAAAAAGTTAGAGATAAGACCAATTTGAAAGAAAAAAAACCACTCAGTTTCTTGTTCAAGCTTGCGATATCTCTTTTCATCGGGATTTTAAAATTATTACATGAAACTGTGTTGTATGTCTGTACCTCACTTCTTCGTCTGTTCATATTTGTATTGAATATAATTTGGACATGTGTCAGTTGAGATTCCGAGGAATATTGTGTACTCTGGAGCAGCACGAATAAAGTTTGGTGTGCGGATGTAATTTATTAGCGTGAATGAAGAGGCTTATTTCACAATCAGTCCTAGGAATATTCAGTACGCAAGGGCAGTGCGAATGAAGTCTTGTGTGTGAATGTAATTTATTAACGTTAATGGAGAGGCTTATTTTCCAATTACTCCGAGGAATAGTGTGTACTTAAGCAGTGTTAATAAAGTGTGGTATGTGTGAGTAATTTGTTAGGGCGAATAGAGAAGCTTCTTGCATAGTCACCCCGTGTATATCGAATACACTGAGTTAGCATGAATAATGTTGGTGTGTGAATGTAATTTATTAGCGCGAGGTTTCTTCTAAAGTCACCCCGAGAGAAATCGGGTACTCTGGGGCAGTGTGAATTAAGTGTGGTGTGTGTGATTGAAATTTATTTAAGGTTTATTGTTAATCTGTCGAGGAATATTGAGTACTTTGGGCTGGCATCAATAAAGTTTGATGTGTGTGTGTGTGTGTGTGTGTGTGTGTGTGTGTGCGAGCGCGTGCGCGTGAATGTAATTTATTAGCGCGAATAGAGAGGCTTATTCTAAGTCACCCCGACATATGTCGAATATTCTGAGGTAGCGTGGATAAAATTTGAAGTGTGTAAATGTAATTTATTAGCGTAAATAAAAGGGCTTGTTTCTTAATTTCCACGAGTAAATGGAGTACTCTGAGGAAGTATGTGAACTTGATTTGTACTGACAAGACACTAAGGTACGCAAGAGGATAATGAAGCGAAGGATACTTTTTCACCCAAAACCTAATTGACATGAATAAAACGACTGCCAAAATTAATTAGAAGGCTTAAAACGCGAAAGGTAAAAAAAAGCATCAAAGAAGGATGGCTGGCGATTGCCAGTGTAGTAAGCCGGCCCCAAAACTATTCACAACATACATCAGGACTTTAAACTTGTTATTAATTGTTTAAAAAATTAACAAATATGATCATGTAATAAGTAGATATACATTTTAACCTCGTGAATTAATAATTGTTTAGAAGTCCTTATAAAGGGATTGAATTCGTTAAAGTGACACATATACACAGAAAACACACTTTGAGTGAGTACAAATACTTTCATTAAACCTACAAATTCTACATTGTGTACATCATTGTACAAATCATAGTCATAAATTATATGTACTTGTATAATTTAAACAATGTTTATAAATCCAGGCCCTGAAGATGATCTAAATAAACGTTGGAACGATAAATAAAATACTTTTCTAACCTGAATCCCACCAGACCGCGTCTCTCGATCTTTAAATAATCATAACATTACGGTCGCTAAATATTACACATCCCTTGAAAATTTGACGAAGGAACTGACTGTTTTCATTTCTATCAAATGAACCCAGCCCTATACTAAAAATTGTATTGCAAAATGCAGAAACTTCTTGGTAACGTGCGGAACAAGCTCCAAACCGTTTACACTTTTTAAATTTAACAGAAATAATCAAAACTATGTAATCAATAAATTATATATAAAGTATATAACAATAAATTATATAAATTTAAATGATTAATCATTAAAATCAGTCAAAATATTCGAGGCAATCGTGACTCACGGTGGGTTTTGCGAGAACGCGCACTATGAAAAATCAAAAAAAATTTTTTTAAATGTTTAAATGTTTTTTTAACATAAATTAATAATAATCAATGTGTAAACCTTGACAATATTTGATTGTTATTGTATTTTACTAAGCGAACTGAAATTACTACCAAAGGAACCTTTCGCCAAAAAGATTTGTTTGGTATTCAGATCTTAAAAGAAATTAAAATTTTTAAAGACTCCATATTAATTAAAACCCTACCTTTTTCTACGAATTTTTAAATAAATAAATGGACCTGTCATTTCGATTATTTATTGTACTGAAAAGACCGGCCCAGCCTATTAAATAATCATCAAGTCCCGTAACATAGTAGTTAAACTCTCGTTCAGGTTCATCCTCCCTAAAGTATTTTTTAATTTAATTCAATTATTAATTTATCTCAACTGATTCGTTATCTCAACTGATAAAATATGATGCGATCAATTTTCTCCATCATATTTGTTATTTATGCGAAATATATATTATTCTTAATAAAAAAAAAAGTGTAAAATTTAACTTTAGTCTATTTAAGCTTTTAAATTTTAAATGTGTTCGATTCAATTTCAGTTTATTTTTTAATCTAATTAATTTTAAATGCAAATTTTTTGCCAGTTCAGTCGGACAATCTGTATTTTCGGGTTCTTGCTGAAATAGTTCGTGTCTCGCTTTTCAAAATTTAGTTCTGTTCGTTTTCTTTTTTCTACTCCGCTCTATTGTTTAACACAAATGTTTAATTTGTTAATATTCATTTAAACCATGTTCACGTTTGTTTCGTGCATAGTATGATTTCATCATTCCTATTGTCTCTGGCGTAATTTGGCGTACGTAAAATTTCGACGGTTGTGAAGATTTCGTTGTTCTACTGTCGTGTCTACAATTATTCCCAGTCTTTTTTTGAAATATGATTGGTCTGTTTTTGTTCTAGTATGACCTGATGTGTTTTGGTTTGGTATATTTAATATTAGTCTTTAATATTATAATTATGTTCTTAAAAAATCAGGATAAGACAAATTTGAAAGAAAATAAAAACCCTCAGTTCCTCCATCACGCCTTCGAGGATTTCCCCAATTTTCTTCTTCATCAGGACATTGAAAATATCTACTTATAGTTCTAAAACTTGTGGTTTCAGACATAGTTAATTGAGAGTTATAGTTGATAATTGTGCCTTATGTGTGTACAACGGTTAAGTTTGGTAAACTAAAATTATTTTGAAATACCAAAGATAATCAAAATAAATCCTGGAAGACTTATATTGATGATTTTTTTTGGATCCTCTGGGAGTTTTTAAAAACCTTTGCTGTAGTTATCGACCCAGGTTGTCCTAGTCCGAATTGACTATTTTGACTGAAAATTGTGCTGTTTCAAATCTACCTGAACAAATATAGAAAATAAATACTGTTTATTGTTCAAATATAGTATACTTTAGTTTGTATTTGTGTTTTGATGTTGACTATGATTTTCTTATCGTGAATTGTGATCTACTTTCGTGTAACTTCGGGGATGTTTATGTGAAACCTGTTGTGTAAAACCACTCCACCATTTAAAAAACTGCATTTTTTCCTAAAATGTCTAACGAGTGTATCATTGACTGGATTAATTAAAAGGGCAGATACCCCGCAGGGTTTTCACTGCCAAGGACATGTCAAACGACGGCAGTGACCCAGAGCTCGTTCCACCGAAGGAACCAGTCGTCCTTTGCAGACGCCGGGTGTGGTCCCAGGCTAAAATTGCTACCTTGGCCGTTTCGGGGAGTGCCGGAGCAAATCCGCTACGGATTTACGAAGGGTAGCCCCCGCGTATGTCCTATCTGATCTCAGATTTGCGGCAGCATCGCGTGGGGGTAAAATCCAGAAGTTGTGGCCGTTGACCTCCCTGCGACACGTAAGCTTAAAGCTCTTTGAGTTTTTTTTTGCACTTCTCGTTTTTTTTTATGCGGGCGTCAGGCAGAAGAAGCCGGGCTAATAGGTGAAAAAGGCCTCATAAATTCAAAAAATAAAAAGTTTCAAAACCTGTTTACATCCCGAGCATTGAAAATTTTAAAATAATTGGGAACGTCTCTGTTAAACAAAAAATTATGCAAAACGGTCTCATTTTTTTTTTTTTTTTTTTTTTTAAATCTAGGCAGTCTTGATTCCCAAGTCTACCCAACTAATAATAAATTCGGTTAGCCTGGAATAAATTTTAATATAATATATAATAAATAAATAAACATATACATTTACAATCAACTTCACCACATTTTTTATTAATATTTACATAATAGTAGCGTACATTGGGAAAGAATATCGTCAAATTTAAAAAAA